GACCTATAGTACAATAACACAGCCTGTACAATGACCATACAACCTATAGTACAATAACACAGCCTGTACAATGCCCACACGGCCTATATTACAATAACACAGCCTGTACAATGACCACACGGCCTATATTACAAGAACACAGCCTGTACAATGCCCACACGGCCTATATTACAATAACACAGCCTGTACAATGGCCACACGGCCTATATTACAAGAACACAGCCTGTACAATGGCCACACGGCCTATATTATAATAACACAGCCTGTACAATGCCCACACGGCCTATAGTACAATAACACAGCCTGTACAATGCCCACAGGGCCTATATTACAATAACACAGCCTGTACAATGCCCACACGGCCTATATTATAATAACACAGCCTGTACAATGCCCACATGACCTATAGTGCAATAACACAGCCTGTACAATGCCCACACGGCCTATATTACAATAACACAGCCTGTACAATGCCCACACGGCCTATAGTACAATAACACAGCCTGTACAATGACCACACAACCTATAGTACAATAACACAGCCTGTACAATGCCCACACGGCCTATAGTACAATAACACAGCCTGTACAATGACCACACAACCTATAGTACAATAACACAGCCTGTACAATGACCACACGGCCTATATCACAATAACACAGCCTGTACAATGACCAGACGATCTATATTACAATAACACAGCCTGTACAATGACCAGGCGATCTATATTACAATAACACAGCCTGTACAACGACCTCACGACTTATTGTGCAATAACACAGCCTGTACAATGACCACAAGGCCTATATTACAATAACACAGCCTGTACAATGACCATACGACCTATAGTACAATAACACGGCCTGTACTTTGACCACACAACCTATAGAGAAACAACTTAACACTGCTTGTTTCACCCGTGTCCCTCATTGCGAAGACAGGCAATAGTAAGTTCAAACACGGCTTGTTTTACCCGTGTCTCTCTTTGTGAATACAGGCAATAAATAGTATGTTCAAACACGGCTTGTTTTACCCGTGTCCCTCATTGCGAAGACAGGCAATAGTATGTTCAAACACGGCTTGTTTCACCCGTGTATCTCATTGTGAAGACAGGCAATAGTATGTTCAAAGAGAAACCACTTAACACGGCTTGTTTCACCTGTGTCCCTCATTGCGAAGACAGGCAATAGTATGTTTAAACACGGCTTGTTTTACCCGTGTCCCTCATTGCGAAGACAGGCAATAGTATGTTCAAAGAGAAACAACTTAATACGGCTTGTTTCACCCGTGTCCCTCATTGCGAAGGCAATAGTATGTTCAAAGAGAAACAACTTAACACGGCTTGTTTCACCCGTGTCCCTCATTGCGAAGGCAATAGTATGTTCAAAGAGAAACAACTTAATACGGCTTGTTTTTCCCGTGTCCCTCATTGGGAAGACAGGCAATAGTATGTTCAAAGAGAAACAACTTAACACGGCTTGTTTTACCCGTGTCCCTCATTGAGAAGACAGGCAATAGTATATTCAAAGAGAAACAACTTAACACGGCTTGTTTCACCCGTGTCCCTCATTGCGAAGACAGGCAATAGTATGTTCAAACACGGCTTGTTTCACCCGTGTATCTCATTGCGAAGACAGGCAATAGTATGTTCAAAGAGAAACAACTTAACACGGCTTGTTTCACCTGTGTATCTCATTGCGAAGACAGGCAATAGTATGTTCAAAGAGAAACAACTTAACACGGCTTGTTTCACCTGTGTATCTCATTGCAAAGGCAATAGTATGTTCAAACACGGCTTGTTTCACCCGTGTATCTCATTGCGAAGACAGGCAATAGTATGTTCAAAGAGAAACAACTTAACACGGCTTGTTTCACCCGTGTCCCTCATTGCGAAGACAGGCAATAGTATGTTCAAAGAGAAACAACTTAACACGGCTTGTTTTACCCGTGTCCCTAATTGCGAAGACAGGCAATAGTATGTTCAAATAGAAACAACTTAACACGGCTTGTTTTACCCGTGTCCCTCATTGAGAAGACAGGCAATAGTATGTTCAAAGAGAAACAACTTAACACGGCTTGTTTCGCACCAACATCACTCAGGATGTACTCTGCAACCTAGACAGCCCTGTCTTATTCAGAGACGTAATTATGTCCTTTCTATCCCTTCAGGTGTCCCAGCTCTGCCTGTAACAAGTGTGGCCTGTAAATCTACTGTCAAGTAGCAACAAGGATACGGCAAATAGAAGTTATTACATGACATGTGCTATACATTAAAACACAGGGGGCGAGAATGTCTGTAGTCCAACTATAATATGGTTGTACTTCAAATACTGTATGAGGTTTTAATGGTGGGACCTGAGAGTAGGTCCATTAGTCTTTCATGAGGTAATATCAGTTTTATTTGTTTGTTTGTTTATTGTTTAACTCAGCTATAAGACTGTAAATCATTGAGTCTGGACAAGACAAGCCAGTGATTGACATCATGAGCATCGATCCACGCAACTGGGATACGATGACATGCATCAACCAAGTCAGCGAGGCTGACGACCCAATTCCATTAGTCGCCTCTTACAACAAACTGTTGTCCAGTTTCATGTACAGGTGGATATCGGGAATTGTTGTTTCCATACAGCACCTTCTCTAGCATCTGCTCTCACAGACATTACCATGTAGTCACAAATCACTTCGGTACATGAACTAACCAACAGTTTATAGGGAATGAAAGGGTCTAGCATCATTACTGGAACATGGTCAGCAGGTGAGTTGGGTTTCAGGTCGTTGTGAACACTACTTGAGTCACATCACAGCCTGTCAGCAGAATGAGTGTAGAAGTCTCCACATGATGGAAGTTGCACTTGTAGTTTAGGAATTTGGTCAAATCCAGTAGTATGTAGTATCATCTTCCCAAGGCAAGGGAGTTATCCGAACTAGGCTGAAATTATGCTCAAGTTATTTGATGAACTTCGCGAGGTAAAGCACATTTTTTTGCAATAAAAATCTTTATTATCGATTATCTTGACTGGGTGCCACCATTTTGTTTGATTTGTTTGTTGTTTAACGCCGCACTCAGCAATATTCCAGCTATTTGATGGTGGTCTGTAAATAATCGAGTCTGGACCAGACATCCAGTGAATGACACCATGAGCATCGATCCACACAAATCGGATACAATGACATGCATCAACCAAGTCAGCGAGTCTGACCACCCGATCCTGTCAGTTGCTTCTTACCACAAGCATAGTCGCCTGTTAAGGCAAGCTTGGGTTGCTGAAGACCTATACTACCCCAGATCTTCACGGGTCCATTTTGTTTGAAGCAAATGCAAGTGATATATATAAGACATGGAATCTGATTGGTCAGTAGGATCGACTTAAAAGAGACATAACTCGTAATAGCCACTGGTGGCGCTATAATCAAGCCCAGATATTCAAGCGAACTTCCTCAAGGGTGGAAACTGGATGTATAATGTCAGTTAACTCCCTTGCCTCAGGAAGATGTGTGTGTTTAGTGCTGATAGGCCACTGATTAAGCAAATCTGCAAGAGCAAGGGCTAGAGAGCTTGCTATACAGTCCCACGCCTGATGAGCCTGGCTGATGAACAACAAAGTCTTTTGGTGTATTTGACATAATTTATCCACTATTTCATTTGTATGATTCAACACAGTTTCAAAACAAACAACCTCTGAACTCTACAAGCAGTGTTTGAAACTAAAGGGGTTTGTGGTCAGATTGGTGTTTGAATATAAGGAGCCCCCTAAATCTTGAATCTTGAAACTTGAATGACAATGTTTAGTTTCAACAACTGTCATGTATACATGTATACACAGGTGTATTGGCAGTAATATACACAAATAAGGAATCACCACTTTTCAAGTGCAAATACTCATTCTCACAATCAATAATTGCATGCAAATACTATCCATTCACCATCATGGGGATGACATAGGTTTTCAGTGTTTGCCTGCTCTGGAGTCATATATACATTTACATTCTTATACAAAAAACATATGGAATGTACAGCTTAAATACAGACTCACTTCTCTGACTACAAGTCAAAATTGCTTAGTTCAAGCCATCAATTATCATTGATTTCTTATGAGTGTAAAGTTTGCCACTTGTGTTTTGAGTTGGTAGAAAACAAACTTCTGTGTCATACAAACAGTTGAAAGCCAACAAGTTTACAAGCCATGTTTGAGCATTCAATAATAACATTTTGAAATGAAACATCTTGATCACAGCAGACAGTGGGAGAGGTGAGAAGGGTTTGGTCATTATTGATATAAAATTTACCCAAAAATATTGCAATGAGGAGCTGTCATTATGTCTCTGATTTAAACATTTGATTCGGCTGTGGGATGCTCTGCCACTGTTGTGTTTTCAAGTAATTTCAGTTGATTAGAAACTTATTGTGGTCACACAAGCAGTTGGCAATACCTGGGCCCTGGGTGTGGGAGCTCTGTTACAGCAAGCTGTGCGATACAGATCAGTATCACATACGACAGTGGGAATATAATGTACATACTTCATACATAATCTCTGGTCCTGGGAGTCTTGTTGGGGTGGTCAATCACCCTGTTCTGTCTTCAGGGAGGGGAGTGTTTACCTTACATTGGTGGGGGAGGGGGAGGGGGAGGAGGGGGTGGGGGTGGGGCAGGTATCGCCCCACCAGCAGAAGGACCAGTGTTGTCCATGCTGACAGCATCAGTGGGCATATCTGCAAAGAATACATACATTGATGAGAGACATGAACTTGATCTTGTTTCCTACACAGAATGATGACCCCGCATGTGAAACATACACGCTATCAAGCATGTGGTATTAGTATTGAACTAGAAGCACATTATAACTTGGTATTTTATAATAAGGCAGCTCATATTCATACCAGAATAGAAACAATGTTCCATGTATGTTAGCATACAGCCCTCCAGTGGTGTTCAGAAGACACAAGCCCTATGTTAGCATAAAGCCCTCCATTGGTGTTCAGAAGACACACGCCCAATGTTAGCATACAGCCCTCCAGTGGTGTTCAGAAGACATAAGCCCTATGTTACCATACAGCCCTCCATTGGTGTTCAGAAGACACAAGCCCTATGTTAGCATACAACCCTTCATTGGTGTTCAGAAGACACACAACCAATGTTAGCATACAGCCCTCCATTGGTGTTCAGAAGACACAAGCCCTATGTTAGCATAAAGCCCTCCATTGGTGTTCAGACGACACACAACCAATGTTAGCATACAGCCCTCCATTGGTGTTCTGAAGACACAAGCCCTATGTTAGCATACGGCCCTCCAGTGGTGTTCAGAAGACACAAGCCCTATGTTAGCATACAACCCTCCAGTGGTGTTCAGAAGACACAAGCCCTATGTTAGCATACAGCTCTCCATTGGCGTTCAGAAGACACAAGCCCTATGTTAGCATACAACCGTCCAGTGGTGTTCAAAAGACACAAGCCCTATGTTAGCATACAACCCTCCAGTGGTGTTCAGAAGACACACAACCAATGTTAGCATACAACCCTCCAGTGGTGTTCAGAAGACACAAGCCCTATGTTAGCATACAGCCCTCCAGTGGTGTTCAGAAGACACAAGCCCTATGTTACCATACAGCCCTCCATTGGTGTTTAGAAGACACAAGCCCTATGGTACCATACAGCCCTCCATTGGTGTTCAGAAGACACACAACCAATGTTAGCATACAGCCCTCCATTGGTGTTCTGAAGACACAAGCATAATGTTAGCATAAAGCCCTCCAGTGGTGTTCAGAAGACACAAGCCCCATATTAGCATACAACCCTCCAGTGATATTCAGAAGACACAAGCCCTATGTTAGCATACAGCCCTCCAGTGGTATTCAGAAGACACAAGCCCTATGTTAGCATAAAGCCCTCCAGTGGTATTCCGAAGACACAAGCCCTATGTTAGCATACAGCCCTCCAGTGGTGTTCAGAAGACACAAGCCCTATGTTAGCATACAACCCTCCAGTGGTGTTCAGAAGACACACAACCAATGTTAGCATACAACCCTCCAGTGGTGTTCAGAAGACACAAGCCCTATGTTAGCATACAGCCCTCCAGTGGTGTTCAGAAGACACACAACCAATGTTAGCATAAAGCCCTCCAGTGGTGTTCAAAAGACACAAGCCCTATGTTAGCATACAGCCCTCCATTGGTGTTTAGAAGACACAACCAATGTTAGCATACAGCCCTCCATTGGTGTTCAGAAGACACACAACCAATGTTAGCATACAGCCCTCCAGTGGTGTTCAGAAGACACAAGCCCTATGTTAGCTAACAGCCCTCCAGTGGTGTTCAGAAGACACAAGCCCTATGTTACCATACAGCCCTCCATTGGTGTTCAGACGACACAAGCCCTATGTTACCATACAGCCCTCCAGTGGTGTTCAGAAGACACAAGCCCTATGTTAGCATACAGCCCTCCAGTGGTGTTCAGAAGACACAAGCCCTATGTTACCATACAGCCCTCCAGTGGTGTTCAGAAGACACAAGCCCTATGTTAGCATACAGCCCTCCAGTGGTGTTCAGAAGACACAAGCCCTATGTTACCATACAGCCCTCCAGTGGTGTTCAGACGACACAAGCCCTATGTTACCATACAGCCCTCCAGTGGTGTTCAGAAGACACAAGCCCTATGTTAGCATACAGCCCTCCAGTGATGTTCAGAAGACACAAGCCCTATGTTAGCATAAAGCCCTCCAGTGATGTTCAGAAGACACAAGCCCTATGTTACCATACAGCCCTCCATTGGTGTTTAGAAGACACAAGCCCTATGTTACCATACAGCCCTCCATTGGTGTTCAGACGACACACAACCAATGTTAGCATACAGCCCTCCATTGGTGTTCCGAAGACACAAGCCCTATGTTAGCATAAAGCCCTCCAGTGGTGTTCAGAAGACACAAGCCCCATATTAGCATACAGCCCTCCAGTGGTATTCAGAAGACACAAGCCCTATGTTAGCATACAGCCCTCCAGTGGTATTCAGAAGACACAAGCCCTATGTTAGCATAAAGCCCTCCATTGGTATTCAGAAGACACAAGCCCTATGTTAGCATACAGCCCTCCATTGGTATTCAGAAGACACAAGCCCTATGTTAGCATACAACCCTCCAGTGGTGTTCAGAAGACACAAGCCCTATGTTAGCATACAGCCCTTCAGTGATGTTCAGAAGACACAAGCCCTATGTTAGCATAAAACCCTCCAGTGGTGTTCCGAAGACACAAGCCCTATGTTAGCATACAGCCCTCCAGTGACGTTCAGAAGACACACAACCAATGTTAGCATACAACCCTCCAGTGGTGTTCAGAAGACACAAGCCCTATGTTAGCATACAACCCTCCAGCGGTGTTCAGAAGACACAAGCCCTATGTTAGCATACAGCCCTTCAGTGATGTTCAGAAGACACAAGCCCTATGTTAGCATAAAACCCTCCAGTGGTGTTCCGAAGACACAAGCCCTATGTTAGCATACAGCCCTCCAGTGATGTTCAGAAGACACAAGCCCTATGTTAGCATAAAGCCCTCCAGTGGTGTTCAGAAGACAGAAGCCCTATGTTAGTATAAAGCCCTCCAGTGATGTTCAGAAGACACAAGCCCTATGTTAACATAAAGCCCTCCAGTGATGTTCAGAAGACACAAGCCCTATGTTAGCATAAAGCCCTCCAGTGATGTTCAGAAGACACAAGCCCTATGTTAGCATAAAGCCCTCCAGTGATGTTCAGAAGACACAAGCCCTATGTTAGCATACATCCCTCCAGTGATGTTCAGAAGACACAAGCCCTATGTTAGCATACAACCCTCCAGTGATGTTCAGAAGACACAAGCCCTATGTTAGCATAAAGCCCTCCAGTGATGTTCAGAAGACACAAGCCCTATGTTAGCATAAAGCCCTCCAGTGATGTTCAGAAGACACAAGCCCTATGTTAGCATACAGCCCTCCAGTGATGTTCAGAAGACACAAGCCCTATGTTAGCATAAAGCCCTCCAGTGGTGTTCAGAAGACACAAGCCCTATGTTAGCATACAACCCTCCAGTGGTGTTCAGAAGACACAAGCCCTATGTTAGCATACAGCCCTCCATTGGTGTTCAGACGACACACAACCAATGTTAGCATACAGCCCTCCAGTGGTGTTCAGAAGACACAAGCCCTATGTTAGCATACAGCCCTCCAGTGGTGTTCAGAAGACACACGCCCAATGTTAGCATACAGCCCTCCATTGGTGTTCAGAAGACACAAGCCCTATGTTAGCATACAACCCTCCAGTGGTGTTCAGAAGACACAATCCCTATGTTAGCATACAGCCCTCCAGTGGTGTTCAGAAGACACAAGCCCTATGTTACCATACAACCCTCCATTGGTGTTCAGAAGACACAAGCCCTATGTTACCATACAGCCCTCCAGTGATGTTCAGAAGACACAAGCCCTATGTTAGCATAAAACCCTCCAGTGGTGTTCCGAAGACACAAGCCCTATGTTAGCATACAGCCCTCCAGTGATGTTCAGAAGACACAAGCCCTATGTTAGCATACAGCCCTCCAGTGATGTTCAGAAGACACAAGCCCTATGTTAGCATACAGCCCTCCAGTGATGTTCAGAAGACACAAGCCCTATGTTAGCATAAAGCCCTCCAGTGGTGTTCAGAAGACACAAGCCCTATGTTAGCATACAACCCTCCAGTGGTGTTCAGAAGACACAAGCCCTATGTTAGCATAAAGCCCTCCAGTGGTGTTCAGAAGACACAAGCCCTATGTTAGCATACAGCGTGTTCAGAAGACACAAGCCCTGTGTTAGCATACAACCCTCCAGTAGTGTTCAGAAGACACAAGCCCTATGTTAGCATAAAACCCTACGGTGGTGTTCAGAAGACACACAACCAATGTTAGCATACAGCCCTCCAGTGGTGTTCAGAAGACACACAACCAATGTTAGCATACAGCCCTCCAGTGGTGTTCAGAAGACACAAGCCCTATGTTAACATACAGCCAACTAAAGCCCTACATTTTTACAGCTAGTGAGTTGTTATGAAAAAACTGCACAGCGAGCAATTGTCAATCACAGACATCTTTCATAGACACAGTCTCACCCCACAAAGCAGAGAGAAAGTCATGAGAGAGTCTCTCACCACAGAGAGTCATGAGAGAGTGTCACACCACAAAGAGAAAGTCATGAGAGAGTCTCACACCACAGAGAGAAAGTCATGAGAGAGTCTCACACCACAGAGAGTCATGAGAGAGTGTCACACCACAAAGAGAAAGTCATGAGAAAGTCTCACACCACAAAGAGAAAGTCATGAGAGAGTCTCTCACCACAGAGAGAAAGTCATGAGAGAGTCTCTCACCACAGAGAGAAAGTCATGAAAGAGTCTCTCACCACAGAGAGAAAGTCATGAGAGAGTCTCTCACCACAGAGAGAAAGTCATGGTTACAGTCATGCAGAGAGAGAGCAACTCTTACCTTCCATCAGTATCATGAAGCTTTTAACAAAATTAAAACATTTATTGAGCTTTGAAAATATATTTGAAACAAGAACCAGTTCACAGTACTGTTAAACATTTAGCATCACAGATGGATCCACTTGTGAGTGCCTCTAATATGTTTACAACAGGCTCTTTTCAAAGAACAAATGAATATATTTTTTGATGAATTATCGATTAAGCATAAAATTATGGTCCATCTTTGTTGAACTTGAATATTTGTTGACCTAAACATGGTGATTATGATGCTTGGTGCATACCTGAAGAGGCAGATGCTGACGTCTGATTGGCTGAACCACTCGCCCCGTCTCCATTGGCTGACGGTGTGTCGGGTCCAGCTAAAGAAGAACGCACATCAATATGTTAGGGCCAGACAGTGCAAAGCAACAAACTATCCCTTCTAGGACAAAGAAGCATGTCCGCTATATGACACAGGAAGTTTCTCATCATGACAGTGGGGTGGAATCGTTTATCCTGCTGCACTGACAATCTGGTTGACATAGAAACATACAACCATGAGGATCTGTAACTCAGTACGTAACTTATTCATTCATATTACACATCGATACATAAATATTACACTAAATATATTTCCAACAAGAAGTAAATGAGTCTTGTAACCACAGCAACAACTCAGACAAGTTGATGTCATGTGACCTACCTTTGTCTTTCTCCGCCTTCTCCTCGGCAGCCGTCAGATCGGCACGGAAAAAGATCCGTGCGCTGCTGAGTGAGTAGTGGAGCAGGTCAAACTCCTGTCAGGGGAAGACACATTTAGGTTCTGTCAGAAGTTGCAATGTCTGTGTTTGGCACACTCGGGTATATTTCAAACATACTATTGCGACCTCCAAATAATCAAGTCTGGACAAGACAAACCAATTATCATATTGTGAGCAACAACCCACCAGGCTGGGCACGATGACACGAAATGAGACAAGTCACCAAGTCTTGTTGCTATGACAGGGTGGAGTTGCTCGAGACTACTGTAACCCAGGACGTCCACAGAGCAGATGATGCTGCAGTAACAAGCCTCAATGTCACAAAGCATCATACCCTGGGCATTGTCTCTATCATAACTTCAGTTACAGATACACCATCCAAACATTCTAGAAATAATAAGAAACAAAACAAAATATTGTCGGGTCTTATTATGTGTATGAGTTAACGAGAAGAAAACACCTCAAGGGTATTTCTCCACATGCACGAGTTAATGAGATGTACACACCTGAAGGGTCTGTCTCTACCTGCACGAGTTAATGAGATGTACACACCTGAAGGGTCTGTCTCTACCTGCACGAGTTAATGAGATGTACACACCTGAAGGGTCTGTCTCTACCTGCACGAGTTAATGAGATTTACACACCTGAAGGGTCTGTCTCTACATACACGAGTTAATGAGATGTACACACCTGAAGGGACTGGTCCAGTCTCTTGACCGTTAGACTCATGGTCTGCTGCAGCTTCTCGTCACCACGGCTGCCTGTCTGCTGCGACACCTGCCTCTGCCAACAACATCAGTCACAAGCGCTCGAATACTGATCAAAGTTCATGACAATAAATTTATGATTGTTGACATAAAATTCAGAACATTAGGATCTACTCACTGCCATTGTAGAGTAAGTGAGTGAGTGAGTGAGTGAGTGAGTGAGTGAGTTGTGTTTAGTGCAGTTTTTAACAGTACTTCAGTCACATCACAGCATCATGTGGAAGGTGCTGACATACCAAGAAACATAATCAGGGCCAACCAGGATTTGAACCCATGATCCGTAACAACACTTAAGGAACCCAAAGCTGCAGAATTGTGGCACCCTAGACGACTGGACCTCCCGAGCCCGTTTCAAGTGGTGTAATCAATAGCAATGTCAGGATCTACAAGCAACAAATACTGAATTATGGCATCCCCAGACGACTGGACCTCCCGAGCCCGTTTCAAGTGGTGTAATCAATAGCAATGTCAGGATCTACAAGCAACAAATACTGAATTGTGGCATCCTACACAACTTGACCTCCCGAGCCCGTTTCAAGTGGTGTAATCAATAGCAATGTCAGGATCTACAAGCAACAAATACTGAATTGTGGCATCCTACACGACTGGACCTCCTGAGCCCGTTTCAACAGAATTGTGGCATCCTAGACGACTTGACCTATGGACCGATCCCATGTTGTAATAAAGAACTTGAAATGTAACACCTTGTACTTCATGATGTGACATTAACTAAGTAACCTGTGAACAGTTTCTCTCAAAGTGACAACATGAGAACAACAGCGTGCCCACTGACCTTCTCCGTGAGGTGTTTATCTCTGACGGACTGGAACCAGTGGAGGGAGTCAAACTCATGATACTGGTCCAACAGCTTCAGGATATAGGCAACACCTGTACCAACACATCAGGGAGGGAAGAGTTACTTCCCTTGGGGACCATGAAGAAACTATGAAATTACGAGTGAAATAAGGCACAGGCTCTTATAGACAGTAATGACATTGTATGGTTAATTTGTACCTATGTCATGTTCAGACAATGTCAGGAAAAGGAGGAGGGAATGTTAATTACACTACACACAGTCTGTAATATGCCAGTCAGGTGACATGTAAATAATCAGGGTTGGACACAGTCTGTAATATGCCGGTCTGGTGACATGTAAATAATCAGGGTTGGACACAGTCTGTAATATGCCGGTCTGGTGACATGTAAATAATCAGGGTTGAACACAGTCTGTAATATGCCGGTCTGGTGACACGTAAATAATCAGGGTTGGACACAGTCTGTAATATGCCAGTCAGGTAACATGTAAACAATCAGGGTTGGACACAGTCTGTAATATGCCGGTCTGGTGACATGTAAATAATCAGGGTTGGACACAGTCTGTAATATGCCGGTCAGGTGACATGTAAATAATCAGGGTTGGACACAGTCTGTAATATGCCAGTCAGGTGACATGTAAATAATCAGGGTTGGACACAGTCTGTAATATGCCGGTCTGGTGACACGTAAATAATCAGGGTTGGACACAGTCTGTAATATGCCGGTCAGGTGACATGTAAATAATCAGGGTTGGACACAGTCTGTAATATGCCGGTCAGGTGACATGTAAATAATCAGGGTTGGACACAGTCTGTAATATGCCGGTCAGGTGACATGTAAATAATCAGGGTTGGACACAGTCTGCAATATGCCGGTCAGGTGACATGTAAATAATCAGGGTTGGACACAGTCTGTAATATGCCGGTCAGGTGACATGTAAATAATCAGGGTTGGACACAGTCTGTAATATGCGGTTCTGGTGACATGTAAATAATCAGGGTTGGACACAGTCTGTAATATGCCGGTCAGGTGACATGTAAATAATCAGGGTTGAACAGTCTGTAATATGCTGGTCAGGTGACATGTAAATAATCAGGGTTGGACACAGTCTGTAATATGCCGGTCAGGTGACATGTAAATAATCAGGGTTGAACAGTCTGTAATATGCCGGTCAGGTGACATGTAAATAATCAGGGTTGGACACAGTCTGTAATATGCCGGTCAGGTGACATGTAAATAATCAGGGTTGGACACAGTCTGCAATATGCCGGTCAGGTGACATGTAAATAATCAGGGTTGGACACAGTCTGTAATATGAGGTTCTGGTGACACGTAAATAATCAGGGTTGGACACAGTCTGTTATATGCCGGTCAGGTGACATGTAAATAATCAGGGTTGGACACAGTCTGTAATATGCCGGTCAGGTGACATGTAAATAATCAGGGTTGGACACAGTCTGTAATATGCTGGTCAGGTGACATGTAAATAATCAGGGTTGGACACAGTCTGTAATATGCGGGTCAGGTGACACGTAAATAATCAGGGTTGAACACAGTCTGTAATATGCCGGTCAGGTGACATTTAAATAATCAGGGTTGGACACAGTCTGTAATATGCCGGTCAGGTGACATTTAAATAATCAGGGTTGGACACAGTCTGTAATATGCCGGTCTGGTGACATGTATATAATCAGGGTTGGACACAGTCTGTAATATGCCGGTCAGGTGACACATAAAAATGATCAGGTTTGGACACAGTCTGTAATATGCCGGTCTGGTGACATGTAAATAATCAAGGTTGGACACAGTCTGTAATATGCCGGTCAGGTGACATGTAAATAATCAGGGTTGGACACAGTCTGTAATATGCGGTTCTGGTGACATGTAAATAATCAGGGTTGGACACAGTCTGTAATATGCCGGTCAGGTGACATGTAAATAATCAGGGTTGGACACAGTCTGTAATATGCCGGTCAGGTGACACGTAAATAATCAGGGTTGGACACAGTCTGTAATATGCCGGTCTGGTGACATGTAAATAATCAGGGTTGGACACAGTCTGTAATATGCTGGTCAGGTGACACGTAAATAATGAGGGTTGGACACAGTCTGTAATATGCCGGTCAGATGACACGTAAATAATCAGGGTTGGACACAGTCTGTAATATGCCGGTCTGGTGACACGTAAATAATCAGGGTTGGACACAGTCTGTAATATGCCGGTCAGGTGACACATAAAAATCATCAGGTTTGGACACAGTCTGTAATATGCCGGTCTGGTGACATGTAAATAATCAGGGTTGGACACAGTCTGTAATATGCCGGTCAGGTGACATTTAAATAATCAGGGTTGGACACAGTCTGTAATATGCGGTTCTGGTGACATGTAAATAATCCGGGTTGGACACAGTCTGTAATATGCCGGTCAGATGACACGTAAATAATCAGGGTTGGACACAGTCTGTAATATGAGGTTCTGGTGACACGTAAATAATCAGGGTTCGACACAGTCTGTAATATGCCGGTCAGGTGACATGTAAATAATCAGGGTTGGACACAGTCTGTAATATGCCGGTCAGGTGACATTTAAATAATCAGGGTTGGACACAGTCTGTAATATGCCGGTCAGGTGACATTTAAATAATCAGGGTTGGACACAGTCTGTAATATGCCGGTCTGATGACATGTAAATAATCAGGGTTGGACACAGTCTGTAATATGCCGGTCTGGTGACATGTAAATAATCAGGGTTGGACACAGTCTGTAATATGCCGGTCTGGTGACATGTAAATAATCAGGGTTGGACACAGTCTGTAATATGCCGGTCTGGTGACACGTAAATAATCAGAGTTGGAAACAGTCTGTAATATGCCGGTCAGGTGACATGTAAATAATCAGGGTTGAACACAGTCTGTAATATGCCGGTCAGGTGACATTTAAATAATCAGGGTTGGACACAGTCTGTAATATGCCGGTCTGGTGACATGTAAATAATCAGGGTTGGACACAGTCTGTAATATGCCGGTCTGGTGACACGTAAATAATCAGGGTTGGACACAGTCTGTAATATGCCGGTCAGGTGACACATAAAAATGATCAGGGTTGGACACAGTCTGTAATATGCCGGTCAGATGACACGTAAATAATCAGGGTTGGACACAGTCTGTAATATGCCGGTCTGGTGACACGTAAATAATCAGGGTTGGACACAGTCTGTAATATGCCGGTCAGGTGACACATAAAAATGATCAGGTTTGGACACAGTCTGTAATATGCCGGTCTGGTGACATGTAAATAATCAAGGTTGGACACAGTCTGTAATATGCCGGTCAGGTGACATGTAAATAATCAGGGTTGGACACAGTCTGTAATATGCCGGTCAGGTGACATGTAAATAATCAGGGTTGAACAGTCTGTAATATGCCGGTCAGGTGACATGTAAATAATCAGGGTTGGACACAGTCTGTAATATGCCGGTCAGGTGACATGTAAATAATCAGGGTTGAACAGTCTGTAATATGCCGGTCAGGTGACATGTAAATAATCAGGGTTGGACACAGTCTGTAATATGCTGGTCAGGTGACACGTAAATAATCAGGGTTGGACACAGTCTGTAATATGCCGGTCAGATGACATGTAAATAATCAGGGTTGGACACAGTCTGTAATATGCCGGTCTGGTGACACGTAAATAATCAGGGTTGGACACAGTCTGTAATATGCCGGTCAGGTGACACATAAAAATGATCAGGTTTGGACACAGTCTGTAATATGCCGGTCTGGTGACATGTAAATAATCAGGGTTGGACACAGTCTGTAATATGCCGGTCAGGTGACATTTAAATAATCAGGGTTGGACACAGTCTGTAATATGCCGGTCAGGTGACACATAAAAATGATCAGGTTTGGACACAGTCTGTAATATGCCGGTCTGGTGACATGTAAATAATCAGGGTTGGACACAGTCTGTAATATGCCGGTCAGGTGACATGTAAATAATCAGGGTTGGACACAGTCTGTAATATGCCGGTCAGGTGACATGTAAATAATCAGGGTTGGACACAGTCTGTAATATGCGGTTCTGGTGACATGTAAATAATCAGGGTTGGACACAGTCTGTAATATGCCGGTCAGGTGACATGTAAATAATCAGGGTTGAACAGTCTGTAATATGCCGGTCAGGTGACATGTAAATAATCAGGGTTGGACACAGTCTGTAATATGCCGGTCAGGTGACATGTAAATAATCAGGGTTGAACAGTCTGTAATATGCCGGTCAGGTGACATGTAAATAATCAGGGTTGGACACAGTCTGTAATATGCCGGTCAGGTGACATGTAAATAATCAGGGTTGGACACAGTCTGCAATATGCCGGTCAGGTGACATGTAAATAATCAGGGTTGGACACAGTCTGTAATATGAGGTTCTGGTGACACGTAAATAATCAGGGTTGGACACAGTCTGTTATATGCCGGTCAGGTGACATGTAAATAATCAGGGTTGGACACAGTCTGTAATATGCCGGTCAGGTGACATGTAAATAATGAGGGTTGGACACAGTCTGTAATATGCTGGTCAGGTGACATGTAAATAATCAGGGTTGGACACAGTCTGTAATATGCGGGTCAGGTGACACGTAAATAATCAGGGTTGAACACAGTCTGTAATATGCCGGTCAGGTGACATTTAAATAATCAGGGTTGGACACAGTCTGTAATATGCCGGTCAGGTGACATTTAAATAATCAGGGTTGGACACAGTCTGTAATATGCCGGTCTGGTGACATGTATATAATCAGGGTTGGACACAGTCTGTAATATGCCGGTCAGGTGACACATAAAAATGATCAGGTTTGGACACAGTCTGTAATATGCCGGTCAGGTGACATGTAAATAATCAGGGTTGGACACAGTCTGTAATATGCGGTTCTGGTGACATGTAAATAATCAGGGTTGGACACAGTCTGTAATATGCCGGTCAGGTGACATGTAAATAATCAGGGTTGGACACAGTCTGTAATATGCCGGTCAGGTGACACGTAAATAATCAGGGTTGGACACAGTCTGTAATAT